CGCTGCCGTCGAAACCCGGCATTGCCTGCATTTCGTCGCCGCCGATCGATGGATTGCTCGGACCGGTCTCTATCGCGATCCTTTTGCCGTGCCGCGACTGACAGCGCGACGAGACGGTCAATCGAGTTCGGCCAGTCCGGGCCTCGGCTTCCCACACAATGGAGGCAGCGGCAGCAGATAGTGCGATCAAGTGAGTGGGAGAGAGCGGAGAGAGAAAAATGTAGTTCGCTGCGAGGCCCCGCACTCCCCCGGAGAGACTCGACCCGATAGGATCTGAAAGACGATGAAAAAAAGAGCTCTGCTGCTGCCAATGCTGTCGGTCGTTCTTCAGTCTGCGACTTGCATCTCGGCCGCTGGGTCTGACGTCGACCATGATAGTCGAGACGGCAGAGGGAGTTCCGTGACCTCCAGTTCCGGGCAATTCAGGAACAAGACGTGAGGAGCTACAGACGACGACGCCGAGACAAGACAAAAAAGAATGGAATACTGTTCATGGCCATTGAAGAGAGGAACGAGGAGAGACTCAGGTAGACGGCTCTGCTTCGTTCCTACGGTGGTCATCGTCGAAGACTCGCCAGTGGGCTTCGACGGCGACCAACACGGGCACGGATAGCGCGGATCGAACGCCGCGGCAGGGTGGAGGCGTGCTAATTCTGCTGTCGTTGCCTTCGATGTCGTCGTCGGTCGGCAGCTAGCAGCAGGCAAGAACACAGCCGAGAGAGGGGGGAAGAGAAAAACGACCACGAGATGAATCCGCAGAGCTGACGCTCGCTGCTGCTGCTGTGTACAAGCTAACAACGCGCAGACGGTCGCCGCTCGCCGCCGCTGTTTTCGGTCGTCGTTGCCGTCGTCTTCGACGAAGCAGCAGCAGCATCTACAACTAACAGTTGCCGTCGTCGTCGCCGCCAACCTTGCCGCCGCTGGTTTCACCGGTTGGTAGATTCCAACCGAGTTAAAACCATCTCAGCAGCAGCCGCAGCAGCAGTCAAGCATCAAGTAAGCGAGCGAGCGAGCGGCGAAGAACGGCGGAGGAGCTGACAGACGCTCGGACCGACGGATGGAAAGACAGACCGACGGGGAGGCAGCAGCAGCTAGTCGAGCGGGAGTAAGGAGGAGATGTTTTGGTGCCGCTGCCGTTGAGAGTGAGGCGAGGAGAGTTCGCTGCTGCTGCTGCGGCGGCTGCGAGAGCTGTTCGCTGACTGGATGAAAGACTGGCTGGCTGGCAAGCAAGCAGGCAAGCAGACAGGCACATAGGCATACATACACTCAGTCAGTCAGTCGGTCCGACAGTCAGTCAGCCAGGCAGGCAAGCAGACAGGCAAGCAGACTCACTAGTCGACTGCTGGCGTGGGGTAGCTCCGGTAGAAACGACGACAGGGAACGGTACAATTGTTTTCCCGATATAAAACGACACGGCTCCACGCTGAACGTGCTTGTCGGTCCTGTTCTCATGCGTGTGTGAATGTGTGTGCGTGCGTGCTTGTTTTTCTGTGCGTGTGCTCACAAACTCTAGTCGAACGAGAAAGTGGACGGGGAGCTCTTCTTCTCGTGGACGTTTTCCCGACAGACACCGCGATGAAGAGCCTCGGAAACTCGCGGAGACACTCCAACACAACACGAAGTACGCATCCAGGTATGTACAACACAATGTGACGACGGGAGGCGTTCGGCTTATGTTCCGAAAACAGAGACTTGATTGACACGAGCGAGCTCAGATACTCCCGAGCGGATGAGATTTCCCGAAACTTCGTCTGAATTGAAGTTTCGGCCTGTTGTGAGCATACCCACGCTCGAGGGTGGAAACGCGATCGATGCTTTCAGAAAGCTTCGATCGATAGCCCCCAAAAGCGAAAACCGCATATTCTTGCCATTGTTCGTTGAACCGAAGCGATAACGAGCCGAGCTGTTGATAACAGAATCGCTGTGTAGATTGTTGGGGGAGAAAAACTAATTTCTATCGTTCCGAGTTGAGACGTTCGACACTGGGGGATCTGGACAGAAACTTTCGGGACGTTGAGCTCCCCGCATGCATGTCCGCCGTGCCTTCTCATGTGCGTGAATCACATCCGGTGTCCTGCTTCGGAGGACCCGTCATACCGCGTAAGGAGCCCACATTCCAGAAGTTGCCCAAAACAGAAACTTCTCAGAATCGGAGCGATATTTTTTTATTTGTGAATCGGTTGAGCAATGAGAGCATCGTAAAAATAAAGCGACCTTAGTTCTGGTCCCGGGTGGGGTGGGAGTGCGTCCGAGACTCATTGCTCGGATCGCGGGTGTCTCGGAGGAGACGCCGACTATTGATCCTGTGGTCAGAAACATTCCCGGAAACACGGCACTCCAATGACGCTCACGAGAACCGCCTTTCCCCCATAAGGAGCAAGAGCGAATTTTATTAGACCCACGCAGACGGAGTGAGTTGTCTGTTGTTAAAGTCCAGGACGATGATGATGATGATGACTACGACCTTTTTGGAGGTTTCGGAGGGTCGGAACCCTGTCGCGAAGAATCCCTCGTTTAGCGCTGCTCGAGAAATGAGTCTTCTTCTGCGTTCGCCTGATTGCTCCAGCGCTGATCTGGCGGAGGGTAGCACCCCCAAGAGGCCCCGAACAGAGGCAGATTTCTTTGTGATTTTCTCGCTTGCTGGGCATGCCATCTTCTGCGGAGATACAGAAGCTCGTGTCGTTCGACGTACGCAAAAACTCGTTTCTCAGAAGACTTTAACAACTTTAAACAAATCGGCGGGAGACCGTGCTTTCGTCAGCGGTCAAGACAGCGGTCCGAGGAGCACCTCAGCCGAAAGGCGCGCTGTCGAACGCTAATTGACACGCATGATAATTGTCGCTGTTATCTATTGCGGGTGTCAAAATCCGGAATCACGCCCGACGTGGCGTACCGCGGGCACCGGGTGCGCAGTTGACGAGAACACGGCGTCGACGGTGCTCGTTCTTGCTGGAAAACCGTTGAGGCCGTTGCGCGATGGGATGACTGTTACTTCACGATCATGACCATCATCATCGTCGTCGTCGTCGTCGTCGTCATCATCATCGTGCTCGAATGATGACTCGCCAAAAAAGAATATATGAACGAAAGCGTTTTCTGTCACCAAGAAATTGGCTTGGATAGGTCACGCCATCGTCGCGCTTCCAGGAACTCCAATCCGACTCGATGTTTGATCATCAGAAGCAGCACACTCGTCACGAGGAAATGATTTAGAAATGCCCAGCTGGTTGGGCTAGATGTACAAATACCGCTCATCGCAAAACGAGAAAACCGCGGGGGAGACGCCGATCCGCTGAGTTGCCTGCGGATGAGTTCAGCTCTGCAGCGTTTGGATGGAGTGCTCGAGACGAGAAGGAGCTCTCCGAGCGTCTCAGTGAGCGACGAAAAATGCGAGGCCGGGATCAATCGCTGCGAAGCACAATGATGCCATAAAGTTCAAGAAGTTCCTTTTTTCCAATTGACAATCACCGTACCGTCCATCGGATACGTGTCGTTTGACGCCCCGTTCGAGATGTCATAGCTCATCGATTTCCGGGTCGAGACCGCTTTTTTCGACGGGGTTTCCGGTGCGTTTCCGTAAGCAGACCGAGCGAATGATGTCACACCCGAACTGATCGTATGACCGAACGGAGGGATCGCTGCAGAACCGACTCACTCAGAGGATTGCCGTGTAGTCTTGTTTGACACTGCGACACGAGGCAAGAGCACTCGCGGGAGCCTCTAGCGTGCCCTGCCTGCGAGGAAGATAAGTCACGCATCTGTGTCTCCTTCCAGGGCCTCTCTACCGAACGACCGAGTGAGCGATCAGTTGGTCGCCGCTCGGTTCGAGCTACGGCAGAGACGGCGCCCCACCATCACTTGACGACAGCCTGCGCGAAACCCACATTTAGAGAGGCATTGGGGTACCGAAGAATACGGATAGGGGCTCGGTCGGGGAGCTCCATAGCGTCTCGATGAGCCGACTGAAGAACTCCGAGTCCGGATCCTGGCTCTCGCACGGCTCGAATGACGAAGCTGAGCTAGCCGGTGACGACTCCGAAATTCAATGGTCATCGTTGACTGCAGCCTCCAATTGGCTTTGGGGAGCGCATTGGAGTCGTTAGCATGTGTCATAAGACACCTGTCAAGTTCTCCGCCTAAGCGCAGCTCATCAATCAATCCATTCTTCTATGAATCGAAATTATCGGCACATCGCAGCAGCTAGCCCATCTATTGATCGGACTGGGCGCGGATTGAATCGTTGAATTCTACACGTGATCATGGAACGCGGATTAATTTTCCAATGATTATGTCTCAGCGATCCATCGATAAAGCAGCCGAATTCGCGGCGGAGGACCGCCTGTTTCAGAAGCTGGCAAGGATATTGCGACCGAGTGACGGCGGCAAAGACAGAAAACGACCGCATCATGGAGCCGAACACGAATTGATCGAATCGAGCCCGCGAATCCAAAATTGTAAAGCCTGTCGGCGCGATCCGGGATGTCACAGACGATTCCGCTAATGCGGTCAACAAATCCGCGAAATCGTGCATGCGGACTCCGACGAGCCGCTTATTTGTCATGGGACGTACTTCCATTCCTGTGGTTCTCTGTGGCAGATCCACGTTCGATAACTCAAATAACAAGTACGAACTAGACATCGGCATCCCACAAATTTAGCCTGACATGATCCGGATAAGCGTCTTAGAGCAAGGAGATCGCTTTTTGTGAAGCACACTCTGAATGAATTGATTTTGTTCGTTGAGAGATGTGTGAGAGCATCCGATTCGGGGTAATCTGTATTCGACATTGGAGACGCATGTGTGCGTTGCGTGGTTTCGGGGATTTTTTTTGAGGCTACGCTACGGTCCCGCTCGACCCCGTGCATAGCCGAATACCCTCTAGGTTTGCGTTCTTCGTTAGTAAAGCCGAATAAGTTGATTGATCCTATATTCACATCTTTTTTTTCAGGGATGATCGACGCGCAGTAGGAACGGCAAACAATACGCTAGCCAACGGCAGATGGAAGTCGATGAGTGCCGGGGACACCTCGCGGATCAGCGAGTGCCGCCTTCGTCGGGAAATGACCCCTTTCACGACGATCACCACGAGGCTAGCCTCGACTCGGCGTATGAAGACAATTTTGATGTGAGTCCGGATTGCCAGACGGGCGGATGTCGCTCGCCGAAGTTGTGATTTCAGGGACGCTTGCAAAAATCGTCGCCGCTTTACACTTGTCGTCGTCGTTGCGGTCGGAGTGGTTGAGAGAGACGGCGCTGATAGCACCCCGTGGCTCGTCGAGCGTCACTATCCGACGCCCTAAAACACTCGGACCAGATGCGTCCGCTCGGAGTTCCTCGCACGCTTTCGAGTCGGATCGCGCAAATGCATATTCGCTTCTCTCATTATTTTCTAGATCCGATGCTGTGGAATCAATTCGAATTTTCAATAAGGCGTACCCTTGTTCTGCGGAGCAACACGGTAGCCAAGATGGGAGTTGAGAAGCCGTTGTTTTTGTCGAGGACGTGATGCCAGAAAATACTTGAGAACCTCCAAACACATCATTCCAGAGGAGTAGATAGCGGGAGCTTAGTCGAGCTCGCCCGAAATTTCCTAAGCGTCTTCAATTAATTTTCCAGTGCGGCGAGGAGGCGACGCAACGACGTCTTCTCATAACTCGAATTCTGAGTTCACCTCTGCTCTTCTGTGCTGCTGCTTCTTCGTCTTCGTCTCCGAAGCCGTCGAGCGAGCAAGCTCATTTGCAATCTCTGACTCCGCCCTCCGACGACGATACCGAGGACGCTCCAAATAGTCTGGAGATTAGCACAACCGAAACCGAAGAGTATGATTGTCCTTCCCTCAACGGAAGCACTCTCGAACACCGGCCCTGCTCGCTTGATTCACTTGTGGAAGACGCAGCGTATCGACCGCCTGCTGATGACGATGACGATAAGCGGGGGGCCGGTGACGAGACTCGATTTATGAGAATTCTGAGGAGACCGAGGAAGCCGCGCAGCAACAATAGCGACGAAGCCCCATCGAAAACCTCACTCGGAGTCGATGATCAATCTCTGCATATTTCTGTCACGAAAGTTCTCGACGATATCATCGAGAGGATTTCTGCCATCAGCGGCTACGTGGCGGAGAATGCCTCTCAAGACACCGACTCGATCGAAGGCGGTGAGTATTGTATCTTCCGTGCTCTGAGGAACTCCCGATCTGACTGAGTAGGGGAATGACGAACAAGTGATAGCTCTTTTGAGACGAATGTTGGGATTCTCTGTTCCCCGGGCGGGGATCGGGATTCCTCTCTTCCATACGAGAGATTATTGGACAGAGTTCCAGATCAGAATTTTTATTGTCGAGTCGCGACGAGGTTTCCGCTACGTAGGCTCCTGGTGTTGCAAGTTGCAGGCCGATCGATTATTATAGAGGAAACCTCGTTCGCAATTAGTTTATCGTAGGAGACTGCGTTACAGAGAGGCATTTCACGGGACACAGCTGCGGATTCTCAATTTCGCTTCCTGGCGGGGAGTTATTACGCATGGTGAATGATTCCGAGCGTGGGAGAACCACATTTGGATGCGACGTAGTGCCGTTTTCAAGTTATTCTTCCTTCGTTTCCAGAGTGTGACACGCTGTCGGCCTCCGATGTGCCCTGCCTACCGTGGCGAACTAGTCGTCCCATGTCCGGGCGTTCGATCTCGACGGATTCCGGTTTCTCATCTGTCGACGATTCAAGACTCAGCCAGTCGAGCTCGGAGTATGCCGCCTCGCCGGCCACAACCGCTACGACCGATTCTTCGGATGAAGCTCAGGTTCTAGAGAGGAGCCGTCGTAGATCTCTTCGGCGCGACGCCGAACCCCCGCTCAAAGTGTTACGAGTAACAGATACTGCCAAGCAATGTGCCACGATAACCACGAGCCGTGACTCGGTTGTGGATTGCGTTAAAGCAGCCAGCCAAACCGAGATCAGCAACAGCGGTAGCAACGACAACAACCAGAGTCCACTGGTATCACTCACTGCCCCTAGCGCAAATAGGGCTCCGGCCTTAGGCTTTTTACAATCCAAGTCGGTCTCCCCGTTTGCCAAGCCTCCGACAGCCGCGGTTTCTTCCGCCGCTGTCAAAGAAGTACCCTGCCGATGGAAAGATTGCGTTTTCGTCACCTCGAAGGACAACGACCTAGCTGATCATATCGCCGATGCGCATGTAGGTCCTCAAGCCGATAGTGGATCATTCGTTTGTCTCTGGGATTCCTGCAAGGTAAGCTTGCTTCCACTATACCGGCGGTGGTTGCTCCAGAAAATCGTATCGGGTAATGAATGGGAGGAAAACCCAGTACGGAGCAATTCGTTTCATCCTTACAGGTATACAATGTCCCGTCTACGTGTAAACACTGGCTAGAACAGCACGTTGTCAAACATTCCCGGAGCAAACCGTTGAAATGTATTGTTGACGGATGCCTGCAAAGGTGAGAATTGCTCTCTTTCCGAATTTAGCCCATTCTTCAATCGTGTCAGATCTCGATTCCTGGGTCACGGTGTGTTTCCCGCGGCTGAACGCGCATCCGAATATGTATCTTCCAGATTCTCAACGAAACCTCTCCTCGAGGCTCATGTGAACTCCCATTTCGAGAAAAACTCCAAACTCAAGAATGAAGCATCGCTCAAAAGTCATCAACTACTCAAACTCGCCAAGAGAAAACGTTTGCTGCGACAAAACAGCAAAATGCAAGGTAGGTTCGCGAGCGCTCGTTCGGGGACTCTGTAGATAATCTCACAATCAGAGTCGACGCTCGGGAATCGCGCGGGAACTCCCGTGAGAGGATTGCGAGGCAGTTCCGAAATCCTCTGAAACTCGCTAGTTCGCCGCCGAATTGCTATGGATCCCGATGCATCCCTTGATCTAAGTATTGTCGCTTCGTTGCAGCTGGTCGTAAGTACGACTTCTTCGACGCCTGCGCCATGCACCACATTAAGGAAAGCCTGCTCCACTTAGCTGAGACCGAGCAGGCACACTCCCGCAATTCAGGACCCTCCCTCCCGCAAAGCCCGCCCGCTTCCGCATGTTCCCAAAAACTTGAAACCGCTACCAAACAAGCCAATTTCACGAATTCCTCGCTTAGAAGAAGTGGTCGAAGAAAGGTCGCACTTACGGATAAGCTCCATGATGCGTCTATAGCGGCTGAAGTGACCGCTGCCACCCATACCACCCCTGCCATGTTGACTACCACTGCCGTTGCGGTACATGAATCTTCGGACAGCGGACGCAGCTCGCTCCCACCGGAGAAAACGGTCCTTGATTCGTATGTCAGAGCTTGGAGAACAACTCGTTCCGGGGAGAAACAAATGCTGATCTCTTATTACAAACCTCAGCTGGAAGAAGAAACCGAAGCTTCGGCCTGAGCTGGGATCACAACAATAGGATGACGCAGACACAGAGACAAACTTTATACTTAACTTATATAAGTATACACTTACATACATTATACACATAGTTTATGGAATTGACAGAAAGACCGACATGCAGAGAATGGCCGTCGGAGCCTAACCGGGAGGCTTATTGCGACTCACGTTGCGACCGTGTACTACCTGTAATTATTATGAGTGATTTTGGGTCGGTATAGACAGGGATGAACGATTCGTAGTGGGACGAGACCTTGCAGTCGGGACCCGGGGAGGGACTGTGAAAAGTAGATACGAGAAAGACGGATGCATCAATTATTCTATATCGATCTCGAAATGTGTTTTCTCTGCATAGCGAGAGCGTTGAGAGAAGCATCAGAGAAGTAACAGCAGCAGCAGACGTGTATGAACCGCTGAACGTGAAAATAAAAAAGCATTTAATTAGATTGAAATTATATACTGGCCTGTTTTTAGATATTGATAGACACTTATTGATATACCAGCCGTGCGGGCGCTTCGCGCCAATCTTTATCTTGCTGTATATACAGGCATTCATAGGAATCTCCACGCGAGAGACTTTGGCGCATGACTTTGGAGTAATATACTTCTGCAATCTGTGTTGCCGTTGGATTAGCTCGAGTTCGTCGCTGTTCAGAAACATTAGCTTATCCTGCGGCTTGTGTTTCTTCGGCTGAGCGATTTTCTCTATATCTTCGAATTCTGTAGCTTTCTAGCTGTCGCCGCCACTGATTACCACGAGAGATCTTTCTCGATTTCGGCATGACGTATGCGAGAACTAATTTCACGAACAGCTCATGAGTACTCCTACCCTGACAGCGGGATGGTATGTGAAAGTGTTGACATCGTTCTCCGAAAAAATAAATCATCCCTGCTAAATGAAAACCTGTAGGGGGCATAGCACATCGTTCTTGAGCAATCTCGCTTCTGATCATGAGTCAGAAGCCAATCTCGTTCGCAGCCAATGAGACGACGATGTATCTGTTTTTCGAGGTTTACCGAAGAACGGCGCATCGAAACGGAAGCAAACTGACGGCGATTATGGTCGATGAGTGTCCTCATTGGTCGGAATTGTCAAATCCTCGACATCGAATCGAGGACGCTAGCAGTAGAGCGTACTGACGGACGGAGATAGCTGCTCTATTATATAGGGGGGGATGTCCGAGAGCCGAGAGCGCTAAGAGCTCATTTAATGTCTCGAGAGAAGATTTTCCGAGCTGGAATCGGGCAATGGAAGAGGCTTGACTTATGAAGTGAACGTAATATCGATTTTATTGAATATATCAGTACCTTAACACAAGGAACCAGGAAAGAAGTGCTTCATAGATTTCGTTTGTATATAAGCTCAATTTTTACATCAACCGAGAGAACCGAAGTGCTTGCTAAACAGTTTTCATGGGAACGATTTCAGATAGGCGGTCTGCGCCATTAGAATTTGATATGGAAGGTGTCGAGAGTGCTCTCGACAGCCTAGAGGTAACAAAGTGAGGTGACTGCGATCGATGTCTAGCTAAATACGAAGTCACAAAGCTCTTAAGTCCGGTCGGTCAGCTAAGGATTTCCGCCTATCACTGCGCTCCGCACGCTCATCTTCATCTCGGGCGCCGGACTTTCCGGAAAGGCGCGCACTTGGTGACCTCGGGTGGTTTCCTCATCCTCGGCGAGACCTTCAACCGAATTTCATAAACCAACTAAGATCATGCCTTCATCGATATCAATCGAGCCTCAGGGAGAAGCTCATCGACGATAGGCACTGCAGAAAATCGAAGAGATTTTCGCCTAAAACGGAATGTCAATACGTTTGGAACCAAGACAGTCAGTTTCATCACAGAGGACTCGTCGGTATTGGGCTTTAGGTGTGGAAGTGAGCTTACTTCTCGCCTCCCCATTCCGATGGGTGAGAAGTCCTGGCTCGGAAATCATGAGCAGGTCGTTTGATGGAACGTAAAAGAAAAAATCGAAGAGATTTGTTCTCAAGGATTGGTCGGCGAACACAGCTATACGTAGATACAATGATAGACTCGTTCACGTCGGCGGCATCGACGTATGCTTCGTGAAACGATTATCCAGCTCCGAGAAGATTGCCATTCTGCTCAATACCCGCGTCGATCTCAGCCGAGACCAAAAAACTGACCGCAACAGAATCCCAACAAATCGCGGTTCCTTGAACTTCCTCGTTGATAGTCCCCGTGGAACTCCCCGCAAATTAGTCAAATCGAGTTCCTACACTACTCTGCAGAAATGGTCCATTTCCCCTTCATTGCTCCATTGTGTATTGTTGTTCGTAACATTCAGGTTGTTGTCTCCGTCGTTGTTATTTAGGCTGTAGATTCATTTCGGGGGCTCTGATCGCCGGGGGCTCTGGGATCTTGATGCTTGTCTGACAGAATTATTGATGGGCGTAACTTCGGGGCAGGTAGATACTGCTCATACTGCTCTCCATGTCTTACATATCCTATTGGCTCAGTCGCGTACCACCCCTGATTTCAGCTGATTTCCAACGATTATTATCTTCGCTTTATATTTTGCTAAACTTCATGCTTATTCAACAAGGTCTCGAGGGAGGCTTGTTGAGTCCCTCGATACCTTCCGTCTCCCCGAAGGGAATCGAGAGGAGTGGTTTGATCTCCGGTGAGGGATTCTCTCGAAACTCCGGTTTCCGGGTGCTTTACTTGGAGGCTTTCCTTTCGTTGAACATGGGGTTCCGAACCTCCATTTGACCGCCCTGGGAAAAGAAGGAAAAACATTCTAGTCATCCGTCATCATCCAAGGACTCCCAGCGAGGACATGCGGCGCTCCACGAACAATAGAGAGCTACGAAAATAACCCTCGAGTGGATAGTCATGGGAGAGGACGCAGGGAGTAGCACGAATCGGATTAGACACTCACTGGGGCTAGTCCTGGACATTCGTACACGGTATAGTCTTTATCTTCGTCGTCGCTCTCGCCCTCCGAGTGCGAGCCTCGACGATTCGCTGGGGATGGGATGACGGCCGCCTGCTGGTTCCTGATCAATCGGAAAAATGAAAATCAGATCTTAACTCCGTTCCGAAGCTTGCTTTGCGTCATTTCGGCATGACATGCTCCGGCCGCATATCGTTGATAAGCGTCGATAACAAGGCATGGGAAGCTTCACCATACGCACTTCTCAACGGCAATCATTTGCTGCTTCTGGTGTTGGAAATGATACATTTGGGCGCTCTGGGCCAGTTTCCGATCTGCCGGAGGAGAACCCATGGCGTTTTTGACAGGTCCGGTCACCCCGTAGGCTGGGTAGTCGACGTCCTGCGTCATCTGTTGGTTCTGGTGAACTCGGTACACGCAATAGCCCGTCGAGACGATAAGGAAAGTTGCGATGGTACTGCATCCGGCTACAAGAACTGAGATGGAGAAGAGAATCAGATCAGAGCGCGAAGCATTCCTGGATCTTGCGACTCTCTCGCAGGATCACGCGATAGGGGTTCTCGCGTGTGCGCTTACTCTCTTTCTGTACTCACTTATGAACTTGAAGTCGCCGGAATCGTCGGATCGTATTATCACCTCCTCCTTCGCGTGCTGAAGAGGCAGCGGTTGCGGAATGCTCTCAGCTTCGGTAGCGACTTCTTCCTTCTTGGGGATCACCGGCTGCTTCGGCGGTAGAAGATACCGCGGATAGTGCTCTGCTGTCAGTCGATAGTCCGGACTGCTCGGGTCGTCGGCTGGGTCCTTGAAATCTGAGGGATGAGGGAGGATTATCGTATGGATAAATCCGGACTACTCCCACGAATTGAGGAAGTGAAGACTTAGGCGAGGATGATTGGGGAGGACTGCGTCGAGGGCTCTCGATTCGGCGTGAAGAAGCTCAGATCGAATTCCCCAACCGTCGCCAGCATGAGCCGGATTCGAGGTCCCGGTATAGCGAGGGGGTTTCGCGTCCAGAGAAGCCCTCCTCCTGAACTTAATGAGCGATTGCGTCCCGTAGATCGAATTATTAAGTATCCACATTCTGCGAGGGCCAACGTTTCACTTTTCGGGACCAGACGACGAGGCTCGGATACATCTGGATGATAACTAACATCCAGACCCTCTGCGAGCTGGATCTCAAAGCCTGCCCAAAATTTTAAGGCATCGGCGCCTTGGTATTGTCTCCAGGGACGGATTTTGTGGGGAGGCACCGAGTCGGATCAAGATCGACATTCTCCGTCGCTGGCGGGAATAGAACCCCAGGAAACCCGAGCGGGAATCTCGGAAAAAAAGCCGTTGGACGCGGGAAATCCAAGCAGTCGATCTCGGAAGGCTCCGAATGACCCCTTGGACTCGACTAGCGTTGAGGAGGATTACCAAGGACTGAAGTCTGATCTAACTCGAGTAAGGAAGTGACGATCGAATTTCGGATGAGTTGCGTCGGAGGCCTTGACTGCTCGTCTGAATGCCGGTGTCCAGACGAGGATGGAGGCATTTTGATGGTCTCTTCAAGAGCGGGCCATAATCTCCGATCACCGCCGGACTACCTCCATCTACCACAGCAACCTTGTTACTTCGGAGGCCGAGTTCAGACACCCTCCCATTCCTGCCTCTCATTGCGGACCACCAGGCTAGTGCGCTGCGGAAGCCCCTTTTCCTCCGTTATCTGTCTTCATTCTGCCATAAATGGTGCATCAGGCCCCTTCGTGCTGTTCGCTCCTTGCAGCTTTGTGTGTAAGCAAATGCAAGTCCCCTGAGCTCATCCAAGACGCGGAACCTGTGAGATTTGAGCGACGCATCGTCTGAACCGCGCTCGCAGAGAAACTCCCCTCTGAATAAGATAGAGAATCGCAGTCACGCTAGCAGCGCGGCATAGATTACTATGCAGTCTGAACGCGCACGATGGCTCCTTAGTGGTCATCGTTATCTTAACGTCGAACCATCAGGTACGACGTGACGTTTGAGCACGTTGAAGTCCTCAATTTATGCTGCAGTGACGTAACCCTTAGCTATTCGGACTCGACCATTTCCTCTCAGGAGCTTCGTTCACTGCCAGATAGAAGCGTCGCAAAAGTTCTCGGGCCTGCGACATCTCGTTCTATTCCTCGCCTCTGACGCTCCTTGATCTTGCTTGCGAGCTTGTCGTCGAGCGAACGTCCCATTAAGCTTGAGTTGGAGCAGAGCGCTGACTGTGCAGAATGTCAATCCGGTTGACGTCAGCTCCCTTATTGTTGGCACGTGAATGCTGGATGCTGTCGGAGTCAATCTTGGCGTTTCCGCCCCTTGACGGTTCTAGACCGAGTGCCGACACTTTCTATGTGGAAGCGCCCGATGGGGTCCCCGGAGGAAAAGAGCTTTACTTCAACACAAATCGAAGCGACTCGCACGAAACTGCCTTGGACCTCTTTCTCTGTTCAGGAGCTCTCTCGCATAACACGGAAGTGTCGAAGCGAATCGAGAGAGTGTGCTTCTCTCCGTGAAAGTCCGACAGGTTCTCGCAATACCGTACCCTGGAGTTTTCGGAGAGGTCAAAAAAACTCAAGCTAGCGGCTGGATGGCAGGTATTTCGAAAAACTCGGTCTCGACAATCGATCTCCATCGACGTCTGTTACGCTCACCGAGAATTTCCGATCATTGTCCCCGTGAATCTGGAATCTGATTTAGAAAGCTTTCGCTCAGAGCGCGGACAACGCTTCCCATCCGCGAGCTCACAATCGACATCAGAATCTCGGATTTTGAAAATACCTCGGCTATTGACATCTCCGTCAGCGATCGAGGCGGCTGCAAGAGAGCCTACCCGCATGTCACCGAGAAATTCGCTCGCGCGGCAAATCTCAAGCGCCGCGATCGAAAAGGATTCGGCTCGAGCGAAACTTGAGCTCTCCGCGGAATCAGTCGTCGAAGCAAATATATTCATCTGAAAATGATCCAATTCAGCTCCGGAACCTAGCCTGGGAGCTTCCACTTAGATAGCTTTCGTAGCACTACTTCCATTGGGGGTTGAAGGTGGGTGAATTCTTTTTTGAGATCTGCTGGAGGACTCGATTAAAAAACAGTCTCAGCAAGGCAGCTCACTCGCTTAGTGAGGATGACGAACGAGATTTCACCTGGCCTCTACAGGAGTTTTGCATTACGCCGACTCCGGAGGAGCTGCTCAACGTAAAACTTTCCGTGGCTCCCGCAGCTTTTGTCTACGACTGGCACACAGGCCGGCACTTCCAGTCATGTGACGAAGCACTATGGACTTCATCAGTTCAGATCTGCTGAGAGCTGATAGAATCCAGAACCCCTAGACGAGGATTGTGTAAGCTTCGCAATCGCGTCTTGAGCGGTCTCATCAGAAGCGTGCTTTGCGTTTATCGGCGTGTTCTGCGCCGACGAGAGTTTAGCGCACGCGAACCGATTTCAAGAGCCGTGCTCGAACGAAGAGAATGAGCGATACTCTAATGCGCCGCCTCCCGCATGGAAATCAGACCTGGAAATCTAAATCGGCTATTCTCGCTGCATCATGTCCCGATCGAGCGAGAGCTGTACCTCAGAGCCTAGTCTGGAGTGATTTCCGGAGGCTCGGCTGATGAGCTTGATGGAGCAGGAATCAAAGATCGTGGGACCCTCTCAAAGTCGAAGAGGTGCGTCAAATGTCCTAAAAATCGAGTCAACTCTAGTTCTCTACGCCCCGAAATGTTCCGATCCAGAAAACCGGACGGGAATCTGCAGAATGACAACAAATGTGACCTCCCCTGAACGACATTAACAGTTACGCCGCGAATGGCACCTCACGAATTATAGATCCCATGCTAGGACACTCTTGCGAACTTCGTCGAATCTCTGAGCACGGATCCGTGAGGTGATGCTATCAAGGTAGATCTAGAAGTCCGCCGGCGGGTTGTCAAGCGCGACACAGTCCGCCCCCGGCATCGCCGGAGCTTTTTCGCTTTGAGTTCGCTCCTATGAATCTACAGGACTCCTCCAGTCGACGGATAACTGACAAGACAGCTCCTTGAAGTGCAGAAAAACTCATTCTTCCCTTTGACAATCGCTCCACTAGCCCTGCGGAAACGTTCCGTCGGAGCGGATATTTTTATCCGGAACAGGGCCTACGCTAGAGGTAGTGATTACTTGATCGCTCTGGAGCATGTGGTTGCGTACTCGGCACATACCTTTTGCTATACCTTGTTGACTGCTAGGCCGCGCGTGGCTGAGCACAAGGAGGAGGGCCAAGGGCCACAACATAGACCCAGGAGGGGCCATGCTCACGTGAATTTGAACCAGTTGAACGAAATTTCTTCAGCGACGGAGCTACATATGGAGACGGCGTTGTAACGGAAAGCAATCAACGCTAGAGTCTGTCGACAGACGCCATCTTGCTCCAGCTGGACTGTGAGAGTCAGATGAGAAATAGGAGCGCGAGGGATACATTTCAGCCTGAACGCGCTCAAGTGACAGCTTTCGTAGTTGGGTGTCTGTCAGCGCTCCGTAGTGCGGTATCCAATGCCGACTCCGTAACGATTATACGGACCGAGGAAAATCGACAAGCTGCGAAATATTCGTATACGAGCTTTCCGATACAGGAAGAGGTTTCCCCGGAGATATTCATTCCCTTCCTCGGGGTGTGAAGGGATGTTTGCTCCTGATAGAACATCCCGAGGCTAATCAGAGCATGCATACGATGCAATGGGGTCTGCTGAGCATCTATCCAAGGGAAATGAAGGTATCTCGATACTCTCAGACTGTAAGTTTGGGCTCGAATTCAGTACTCCCCAGGTCACCTTGGCCTTCCCTCCTCCTCTCAGGCTCTCGCCCTAAAGACCACCAGAGTTCGGGTGTCATGCTTAGCGACAGGCTTGCGCAAGATCTCACGTCGAGCTGCGCATGTACGTCATCCACCCCCGACGACCACACTGATGGCTTCCAAGGCCAGGTCCGGCCCACATATGGAGTGGAACGATTGCCGAAATTCAATACATATTGAGCTTTGGTTCCGTACACTAACTTCTCAATTGTCGGGGTGAAAATCGGTGGCGACAGAGTAGCGTCACATCAATCATTCTCTGGGGGTTTATTCTCTGTCCGACACGCAATTCGCTCTTGTGTACGAGAATTGAATGAATGCACGCGGTGAAGACGGTTGATTGTGTTAGACAACACCGAGGTGCTGCGACAACGAAACAGGCGTGTCTTGCGAAATAATAGAGTTGTCTATTCCCGGCTGTTTCGTCTCTGGGGATATATGTATATTTACATAACCATTCAATAGTTTCGTTTACATCGACTGCTGTACAGTGTGATAGATGAACACGAGCTCCCTGGAGGCGTGGAGGTGCACTGCTTCGCGCTAACGTGCTTGGAAAGTGTGCCGGGATTCGCCGATGAGCTGCCAGGAGACGAGTCGAAATTCCCTGCATAGTACGGAACTTTTCACCGTCCGCGACCCCGGCTGCCTCTTGTGGCTCCTCCGCGACCTCCACGGCCGCGGCCCCGAGTCGGTACTGGTTTCGGGGCTGTAGGCATGTATCCGGGAGGTAAGGGCTTCGGCTTGGCTTCCTCGATTCTTCTCAATCGTTCTTCCTCGGCTAGACGACGTGCTTCCGCTTCGGCTTCCTGCCGCCTGTAGGAGAGAAGAAATGAAACGGAATGTTTGCTGTTTCGATTTTTTCGTCCACCCTTAGAGATACTTATTTCAATTTCTAAACCCATATCCTTCAGTTCATCGATCTTCGTATTTTGCGACCGAAATCAGTGGAGTTCAGCAGAGCAAACACAGGGGAAACTCCTGAGCTCCTGTCTTACTTTTTCATCTCGATCGCTCTTCGGAACAGCCAATTCATGAAGATCTCCTTCAGTACGATGCATATCCATATGAGCAACATTGTGCCGAAAACAATGAAAACCATAGCTCCCTCTGTCACGGGAAGGATCCATTCACATGTCGGAGGATACATGTCGTATTCGCCGTTATCCAGACAGCTGATCATTTCAGGCCCGACCATAGTGAAACCTTTCCAACAGCGGTAAGTGACGTTCACGCCCACAGGATATTCAGGCACGAAGCCCGTCCTGAGAGTCTTGTCCCAGATTGCGTGTACCTTGTCCTGCTTGGCCGCCGTCGCGACGTAGGGTACCCCGCAGTGGATCGGAGCGGATTTGCATAGCACTTGAAGCTCCTGATGGGCTTTTTCGGTTTCGATTTTGCCAACCTTCTCCATCGTGTCGGCATCCGTGTCCAGTTTGAATGTGGCACACGTTCTGTTATCGACAGGACACTTGAAAAAGACCTCGATCTCCTCTTTCTTCACGTAGGCAAGAAAGGTATGGACGAAGTATTTTAGGTTAGGCTTCTTCAGCACCTCTTCGCGGGTGAGCTGCTCGGCATAGATGCTTTGGCACATGAGAGCCGAATTGTTCGAATTGAATCGTTTGGTGTTCAAGTAGAAACACTGGTTGTCCATCGTGGAAATGATGATGTCTTTGTTATTCGGGTTGTAACAAAGTTTGGGGGGCATCGTATCGGGAGACAGTACGGCGATGGTGCAGATGTCGACCGTGACCGCGGCCACGGACGTTTCGACCAAGCGAAGATTGACCACGGTTCCGTTGCCGTTGCACACAAGCTGGAAGCTGTTCCTCGACATCGGCACGGGCACCGTGACAGAGGAACACATTATACGTCCCGCGTCAGGATCGTCCTCCGTTGGAGTTTCCATCCAGGCCTCCATCTCGATTTTTCCCTGACCGACGACTTCGCCCGGAGCCAGAGTTTCGGGCGTTTGTCGAAAGCGAACCTCTAGATTGGTCACCAGCGCACTCTCTAACAACGTCACATTCCAGATGTATTCAGTTGGCCCGATACTCTGGCAGTAGTCTTTGTCGAATGACTTCAGAATCTCAGCCGAGCCGTCTCGATTGTGTTGGATCTTCAGGTCGTTCTTCACGGCAACGAGATTGTTCAAGCACTGCGGAACCTCCGGAGGTTCCCATCGATCGGCGGTCGTGCACAATCGACGGGATTCGCCGAATAGCACATGGCCTTCATCGCACTCGTATTCGATGTATTCATGCCGAGGGAATCGGTGCCAAGAGGCGTTGCGGAGCCGACCGAATTTCGGGGAGCCTGGATGGGGACAAGACGCCTCCAGCAGCTGAACCAGCAGGCATAACACGAGCAGCTGCATTTCACCAGGCTCTGCAGAGCCCTAAGGGCCGCGACAACTCCCCGACCACCACTAGCGTCAGGGCTGAGACCACGGCCAGCATCGCGGCTTCGAAAGAGAGAAGAGTTCAAAGCTGGCCAATGCTGAAACAGAGTGGAGGTCTGCGGAGAATCGTTGTTGTCCTCCAGGCATGCGCAGCTGCCGGTGAAGAACAGAGAGCAGCTACGTCGCTTTGTTTTGATTCGCTCGAAAGACGACGATTCTGGCTACTGACCTCCACAGTCGCGTCATCGGGAACGAGGCATTGGAAATCGAGGGAGATCCTCGATGACTCAGAGAACGGATGCGAGTCAAAGCTCCGGAGAGCTCGGCAGCGGCCCCTCTTCTATGGGTATCAGTCAACATCCGCCTTCGCCGAAATCTTTGCTGAAGCCGGGGTATGGAACCCCGAATTTTATCATCTTTATATGACATCAGGGCAGTCGTCATCGGAGGCATTCTCATTAGCCTTATACTCCGTTGACGGTTCTACGGTGTAGATTCGGATTTTGGAGTCATGTTTCCACCGAAGATGCGGTCGGAATTATGTAGAAGTATATTGATTGAAATCAATGCAGAGTTTCCGCCCTATACTTTTGGTGACATTTCCGGCCTCGGAGCGCTGATTCCATTAGTCCAGAGCGGTCTTACTCAAGCAGGGGTACGCGAACCCCCACGGGTACGCGAGACCATTGGAGGATTTTCCGGCGAAGTATGATGAATACACGGGTCGATCGGTAGGACTAGGTCTCATATGGAAGTCGCTGTTGCGGGGTCGCGAATCGCAGACTCGCTACGGAAATCCACTTCAATTGAGACCATCACATACACCTAAGGGGTATTTCATGAACAGACCCGGAACTCGGCTTCGCGCACGATCTTCGGAAATCAACCATAGGTAGAATGATTCCTCAGATAGCTCACACTACTTCAATTCAGTCGTTGAGGGTCGAGGATCGTCACGAGGACCGAGATCACAACAGAGTAGCACCTCGGAAGAGCTCATATCGGGAGGTCTCTCACCCGTGGATGGGGCTCGACGAATCAAAGAAGGTCACCATGGGTATCACACAGCGCCGAACGATCGACCTCGATCTATCTTCATGCTCCCCATGTGATCGGAGGACCTCATCGAATACGCATTCTGCGCACATTCCGTGTCTCATCTTGCACATAGATCCTAGCCGGACGGGAGTGATTGAGATTGTTTCTAAAGAGCCTGTCGTCACGCGGCGCCCACTGAAAAGTGAGTCAGACCTCTCTCGGGAGTGAAACTCACGACAGAGAGGAGACCGTTCGTGAAGCCGATTGATGTGGTCATCCGCAAGTAATACGTTTCCGGGGAGACACTGTGTATTCCGACACAACCAACAGGGATGTATTCCGCAGTCCTAAAGTGCAGCTCCAGCAGTGCTGAACCCGAATCGTCAACCATCGGAAGTGGATGTCGCAATCTATACGCCGCCCGTTTCCTGTCGCGTACTCGACTGATGCCGTCATGAAGTAATTCCGATTGCCTGATTATTTAATGCAAATGCTATCTGTATAGGCTCGTCGTCGAGGGAAATAAAATTGCTATCCCGGTCGTCGAGATTAGGACTGGGCATCTCCGACAAGACGAAAAGGGAGTCTCCGGATGATCTGCCTAGCGTGATTTTTTCATCAATCCTGCTCTGACTCGATACGTACGCGATGAATCTTTCACGGCACCGTGGACTCTCGACGAGGTTCATGGAGGCATCGATGATTCCTCCCCTGGAGATTGGTCGAATGAAAGATCCCTGCCAGCTCCGGCAACGTGCCGTAAGCCGCGATTCTCAGCCGCAGCCACCCTAGATATGTCCATGAAGAGCATCGCCAGCATTGAATTCTTCGGGGAGAACTGGGGAATCAGAAGGGCCACGAGAATAGTGGTACATCCGAATCCATAACGGACCTATCGAAGCCCCTCAACGAGAGGCCCGTAATCGGAATCATTGTCGTCTCGCATTCAATGCCCTGTGATCGGGGAGGAAGTTATGTATCGAACGACAATTCTTTCGGGAGTACGAGAGCATCTTTGCCAGCTACATGTGAGTACGAATGTGCACGATACTCTTTCGCATGACGGACCTCCGAGACGAATGAGCCTCTAAACGCGCTGTTGCTTCTTCCCCGGGAATGAACTCTGGGAGAAGAAGTTTGCTGAGGACTCGAAGGAGACCTGAAGCGGGAAAAGACGACCATTCCGTAGCAGCCGCCTTCCGGAGGCGGCACGTCAACGGCGGGAAGACCTTCGGGACGATGGAAGGCTCTCTCGGCGCTGAGCTCCTGTCTCTCGAGACACGAGCTAGCTCCCGTACGCTACATATTTAGAAAGGATTTGCTCATCAATTCATGCCGACCGGTTACGTCAGTCTGACACATACCGGAGAGCGTGCTCCCCGAGGAGCTCAGAGAGACTCCCGGACTGCGGATGTCAGTCTCGGGAAGTCGACACCTCTGGAAAAACTCCCGGCATTCGGATCCATCGCTAGACGCACTCCGAACGGCTGCGGCTCCCGTGAGATTTCAACTGTTCTCGCGTTGTGTAAGACCACGAAGTCGAGGTGGATCTTCGCAACCTTGAATTTCGGATCGCCAATTGAGAAGTCATATGGCGTCTTCTTGAGTTCAGAGTTAAATTCGCATTCCCCTTGCTCCTCGGTGGCCGTGGCCCGAGGAAGTCTGACATTGGCACGACGGGTATAGCTTCCTTGATCACCGCCAGAATTAGCCGATCGCCGAATGCGACTACCTATGATAGACTTCGATTAGGTCGATTCTAGTCCGCCCTAGATGTGTGAAGCGGTCTAAGCAAACGGCCAGCTTTCGAGATCGGTCGAGGGGACAGGAATCATCCGAGAATCATCCGAGAGAATCATCATATCATTCCGAGAATACGGAGACAACATGAGAATAAACGTAATCATGGTCACGTGCTGTCATCGCCAGCATCCAGAGATACTCTCCCCGTGAGGGTCGAGGAAGACCTGCGGAAATCCATCGCATCCCTAGGGCCTCCAAGAGAAACCTTGGGGGATGCTCGCGATTCTCGAATCTGATTGGGTTCACTGATTGGAGACGTACGAGAACTCTCGCAGAATGGCAGAGGCATCGAAATTACACCCCAATGAGCGAAGGAGAGCGAGTCCCGTCACTGGAATCCCGTGGGAACCTCTGCCCTGAGGTCCAGAGCGAATGGGGCGTCGTGGAGGCACTTGCCGGCATAGAATCCAAGTATGAGCCGTGGTAATCAGAGAAGAGATTCATCTGACTTGCAGGATTTTTTTTCACGCTGTATCATGGGCGATTCATTGAGCCCGGAAAAGTCCTCTTGACCAAAGAACTCTGGACCTTACATTCGTTCAGCCAGAAATCATGCCTCATCGCGTGAAAAATTGAGCCAAAAGAGATTGATTTTCCCGTTTAAGGAAAGGCACTGAGACCAGGTGGAGTCTACTGTTCCGAGCTCGGACTTGTGGGACGCATCGACGTCTGTACGCCCATGTCCTACTAACAATTGTCAAACGTCGCAGAGTTCGACGAGTCTGATTCATTTTCGCCGACCTCGCCGCTCACGGCGGGTTCGGGTGTAGTCTAAATGCGCTCAAAGTTTTTTTGCGCTCATGACTATTTGCGCTTCCGGCTGAAGGCGTTGGAGTCAAGAGCGCATAAAGTCATGAGCGCAGAGAGTTTTTGAGCGCATTTAGACTACACTGACTGAAAGCGCTTGCGGCAAGAGCGCAACGCAAGGCGAGTGAGAATCGTAACGTCGAGCCAAGGACCGCCCCGTGCCGCTCAAATTTCCAACAAAGATCATTGACATCATTGCCTTCACTCTCCCGTCGACAGATTCCATTTGGTTGGAACAGTAGAAGTACGCCGTTCAGTCGTACAAGTCGAATTTCACATCTAGTGTCGAGTACGGTGCGCTGGTCGCTCCCAGACTCGTTGTGATATCGTGAAAGAAGTTCCTGAACCTTACTAAGCGAAACCAACATATATCGAAATCAACCCTGTGGCCATCGGACAGTCTGTGCGAATAATCCTCCACCAAATGCTCGAGAGGTCTTCACTTCACCGAGCGGTCTGAGTGAGTGTTTCTCATCGGTATTGCTTGAAATCATTGTCGGACACTAGCTTGAGTCTCCAAGTTGTGCAAGTGTGATGGGGAAAACGTGAAAATCCCTTGGATCGACTGAATCGATGACGAGGTCACGACCATGGTGCTAGTCGGTCGGAAGAGCACTAGACAACGAATGCTTGAAAAGATTTTTGCCGCTCACCGTCTCGTCAGAGGATCTTCGCATTGGCTCTGATCCTCAATGCGCAGGAGGAGCTCGCTCTTCCATCCGTGATTCGCCGATCTGAGGGCTCGACTGCCCTGTATAAGATGAGTAGCTCGCGGAGCATCTTGACGACCTGCCTTGCGTGGGCTCCACTGTCATCAGGGGCATGGACCCTCGAAAGAGCAAGTTGAACGGCGATCCCCTCAGAGCAGTCGATATAGTTAGGCATCGGTTGCCATCTTCTGGTCTCCAAGAGAACCCGGTTCATCGTAATGTTTCGGTGCGAAAAGTCGCTTCACAGGTGTCAGTCTCCTGTCCAGTGCCCGCTCGCCTGGAATCCTCATAATTTTATTCGAAAGTCGAAATCTCTCCCCTCTTCATTCTGGTCGACCTGTTGATTAGAGAGGGCCGTCGTGATCGTCGAATTGGTGCAGGAGGTTTGTCACTTCTGCTGGAACGTTCCGTATCCGTGTGTCCCTCGGAGCAGCTGAGTACATCACGAGCAATTCTTTCTGGTTGATTTTCGGAACAACTTTTCACCCGACTTTATCGAGAGTCAATTCATTTGGGATACCGAGCAAACACCTTGAATTTCCGGCTGTCGAATATCGCTCTTGGGCTGTTTAAAATATTTACTTTACCCCTAAGTGCATTCAACGGCTGCCTTTGATATGCTTTAGCCGCTCGAACTTTGCCAAGATATCGGTGGACTCTAGAAGGCCCGAGAACCGTTGGTGATATCACCCCGGACATAAGGGTATTCCAGCATGATTCAACCGCTGTCCACGAAACTCTAGGCGATGGAGGTTTCTAGAAAAAGACCCTCCTGCTCACTCAGTCTGATCTAATCCTACCGAGGATTAAATCCGTCATGACTTGGAAGTTCGAGAAGGCGACGTCGATTCAACCCATGTTCCTGCATGTATCTCGAGGCTGATTCAACCGTGTAGCTGAAGCAAGTTAGGCGCTGAAAACGAGGCGAAATTATCCCTCGATCGCTGAGAGATAGATGATTAGCTCCAGAATTCGGATATTGACGTCAAACAGATCACTCGCTTCTCGGGATGAGGCTTTGCAGTGGAAGAGAGAAAATCCAGGGTTAGCCTCGTTCGCGGAAGCTGTTCTACATAAGCTTGATTGTAATCAGCTACGTGACTCGACCTTGCAGCACCTCACGACACGGATTTGAGAGACTTCAGCAAGCGACCTGCTCGCTCGCCGAGCGTATGTCTCAGGGAGAAAATGGGTGGACAGAATCCGTATCCAGCCTGCCGGGTACAGTTTTCGAATTCAATGAGCGCGAAACTTCCGAGAACGACGCCGGGGCCGGCACGTTTGTGATTGGGAACTTCCGCGCGGTGACCTTCAATCGAGTCATCTCCAGCCCGATTTCGCTGAGTGAGAGGGAATGATATAGCTATTATTCTTCATAGCCATATTGGTCTCATTATGATCATTGCTCCTTCGTCTTATTGCTGCCTTTACGTCGAATACAATTCTTGGTATCTTCCCCATCGCTTTATTAGCCTATCCGCTCGAGTGGACTCCTGCGATAGCTGATCTACCTAATGTTGCGCGAGATTGCTGACGACTTGTGACGCTGTATATCCCGAGACTCAGTTGATCTCAATAGTCGTCGCGGTGGTTACCTGATCGAGTGAATATATTTCGACTTGGATGGGTGATTCGAGCTTGCCGCTCGTTCGGACAAGATGGTACCAGCTCGAGACGAATCCCCTAAAGGTGCGGTACCGATATTCTTCGAAACTATCCGCTTGCCCTGGCTCATTCCAGAGATTCCGAAGTCGCATGATTTTGTGACTGCCCGCTTTAAGAACAGCTCCGATGGGATATATCCCGCCTTCCACTTTCGTCCCCAGGTGTCCTAAATACCGTCTTTCGAACGGAAAAGGCTTTCGATAGACATCATGCATCGAGAGCGCCAAAGCCGTCGGAGGGATCTCACTAGGCTTCCCCTCCGCTTTTCCAGTGGAGAAGTTCGTCAAAGCAATCGAGCGGATTCCGCCACGGAATAAATCATTGCTTTCCGCACTCTCACGTTGTCGATCCGAATCTCGCCGACTGGCCGAACGTTGACATGCTCTCTGTAGAACGGCCAGCCTTGGATTGTTTGGAAAACCGCTTGCCGCCCGATTTCCTTGGCGCGAGAGACTGCCATCAATCTCATGAAAGCGCTCTTTTCTTGAAGAAAGCAGCTCGCGACCGGACGATCTGGATCAAATCCCGGCCGAACTATACTCCGAGCTTTGAGCAGGTGGTTGTCTCGTAGATGCGGCGCGTCTTAGCGTTAGTCGGATGTTCGGCGCAAGTGTTGCTCGAGTCCTTAGTTCATGAGAGGAAAATTCCGGGCTGCGTAGCAACAGGCGCGCGCAATAACACTGCCTATGTAATACTCCCGCGTCTCTGCACATTGTATGCAGATTACACCGGGTCCGATGTGACACTATCCGACGCGATCCACTCAGCCAAGGAGAATGCCTGCTTGTCTGTCTATATAACGTGACAACCTCGGTTCTCCGGAGCTCGCTCGCAAAGGTGGAGTCACGATCGTTTCTCCAATGAACCCTTGGAGGTCGTACTGGATGGATTATTCAATAGACAAATATCGAATCAGAAGCCTAGGCATCAGTGAACTGCGCGGCTAGTTGTCGCCTCCGTCACCGAGATTATCCCTGTCAAGACTCCAATTACGTGTCCAGCTCCCTCCGCAGCGTGTCGTGGAATTCATTCCACCGAGTGACGCATGGTAATTGCAATGCGGAAGCCCGAATGTGATCAAGGATCGATTTTCGGGTCCTAATCCGGAGTCAGAATATAACTACCTGCGTACACGATGGTGGAGGCAGGAGATATGGAGATTCGAATCCAAAAGTGATTCGATTTCGATTGCGTTCGTGTTTTCTGACTGAACGAGTCTCCCTCGCGAAGGGCATTCACATTCTGTCGTGTGACAGCGATCCGATTGTGAGCGATAAGCTGCTGAAAGCGTCAGTGTTCATGCTTCATAAATTGTGCCTCGGATATACGACAAGTCAGCCGACAATGTCAGCCGGCCTGAGTGAGCATATATCATATCCATAAATTCGAGAAGTCGGCCGGCCCACGTTCGGTCGACTAGTTGAACGGTGCATTAGGTATCGAGTGCATTGCGAAGCGGCGACTCGGCTTCCGGTTCGGCCCTCAATCATAAATGAAGCGCTCCTACATCGTTCATGCGATCCGCTTCGGAGACAAATAAGAACCAGAAGCTAAACGAAAGGCGTTTCAAAGAGCTTTCACCGTGGACGGCGTCGCCTCAGGACGCCCGTGGGTGAACGGGAAAGCGATTGTCGAGAATGACCTTGGTCCGCTCGGATAACGTCACCAGCGGAGAATGGAAGAGATGCAAGGATTACCGAAAATGCGCGAAGCGCGCTCAGCCTGAGCGGATATTCGGTGGAACAGATCTTCGTCTTCTGTCGCTGGTCGATCTTCAACAGTGAAGTACAATGAGCCGAGTAGGTGGCGCCTCCCGTCCGTGTGGCTCGCGGAAAAGCTGCAGAAGAAGGGGTGGACTTGTCAGCCAGGTACGGCGAGTAGAGTGAACGGGTAATCACAATGAGAGCAACTTTTGAACGCTTCTGGGCTGCATGATGGATGTCCGGAACGCGTACGCTTTGTTGTCGGGGCTTCCGGTCCGACGGCGAGCTAGAAGGCTCTTACGGCCGCTTCGATCACAACACCGAAATCCGACTAGAATGATCCAGAGTTCCAATGCTGCTTCGAATCTGGTCCAGATCACGGTTCTGCGAGAAGAACGCTTGGTTCTCCTCCATTGTCATTATTTTGGAAATTCCGTATCGCGGTGGTATTGAACGCTGACGTAGATTTCACGGACCGGCTCGGTGGAAATCGATCGACGCAGGAGTTGGCTACCAAAGTTGATCCTGCGTAAGATATATTGCTCAGACACGTAATCTACGCCTTGCACGACACCCTGCTGCTGCTGCCGGCGGAAACGACTCTGGCATGTTTTGTTTTCGTTCACGCAAGCACGGCCGCATTGAACAGTCGCGGCCAGTAGTAGCGAACGCTGGTCTGGGTTTATGTCTCGAAGAAATGATTTATGTTACGTTTGTGTTTACACTTATAGCACTTTCGAAGGCTCTCTTGAATGAAGCTAGTCGGAAGGTGCCGGAAGGGGTACTAATCTCGAAAACAGGCGGTTCGTGACCGTAGAAAGCCTTTGTTTTTCTCTAACAAGGCAACACACTCGCACACCTTCGGACTCCAAAGTTCGACGCTCGGAGCGCAAACTCTCAGCTCTGGTCAGATTCCGCCGAAGTCTGAGCTTCACTAAATAATCTGGTTTATCAATGTGCTTCGTCTGGTCCCAGCCGAGACCGATGTTGAAATCAGAGTTTTTGGATGAGAAGCGTGCCAGGTCGGCGAACTCATCATCAGCGAGTGATGTCGATTCAGATTATCATCCCCATCGAGAGACGGCGTCGAAAAAGCGTCAGGAGAGCTCTGGTGTCTCGGGCAGCGAATCGGCGATTCCGAGAAGATCTCCACGGCGAGGCGTTTGCGCTACTCGAAGAGCGGCGAGGATTTCATCAATCCCTATGGCGCTGGACGATGCCGAATTATCGGATTCCATTCAAGGTTATGTCTTGAGCGGTGTTCAAGCGCTTGAGCCGTCGGCGCTCTGAAGCTCCTGCCGGTGCGACTCGGCGACAAATGACGCTTGTTAGTTATAAATGTAGTTGATTAAAAATAGCTTCGAAGGACACTGTCTGCGGCA